GGGATCAATCTGTAAGGGAATGAATTAATTTCTTGAGGCATAAGAGCAGCACAGTACGTTGCCAGCGAACGCGCTGCGAAAGGTTGTGACGGTTAAATGGTGAGATTTTGTTCAAGAACAGATCATTTAACCTGACCCACTGTGCGACGAACAATTTGTCCAGAATCTTCCTTCCCCTGACCCACTGTGCGATGAAAAGTTTGTCCAAAAACTTCTCTCCCCTGACCCACTGTGCGACGATCAGCTTGTCCAAAAACTTTCTCCCCTGACCCACTGTGCGGCCCTGCTCCGGTCGGCTCCCCTCATGCCGCGCACCCCTCGCCTAAAACTTTCAAAGCTCGCCATTCTTAAACGGCTCGGCCGATTTAGCTCAAATTCAATACCAAACCAGTCCTAGGGGAGAACTACCACCTATAAAAATTTCAGCTCAAAATATTCATTTTCGCTCGAGTTATCGAGTGGACAAGATTTCACCTCCCCCCACTTTCGAGCCCCACCCCTCAAAATCTATTGCCTCAAATTTCAATTTTTTTTCGCAGAATAGTAGTCCTAATGAGTCTCTACAAAATGCAAAAAAATTGGTCAAAATATCTTTCAACGTAAGAAAGATATAACCACTCAAAAATCGAAAAATCTTAAAAAGGCGGAAATATATATATATATATATATATATATATATATGAATTTGAATGACATATATTTTCGTGATCTACGACCCGTGATCGGTGCTCTTCACAAGGTCTCGGGTCTGGGTCCGACATCATGGGAGAATGCAATAGTGTATTTTCTTCGGAAAATACACTAAAATCGGCCTTGTACTGCAATAGCGATTTTTCACTCAGAAACCAAGTTTTCTTACAGAAAGCACCCGATCTATACTTACTTAGGCATGCTACTCAAATGTATTTTTTCTCCTGAGAAGAGGTGTGTGAAAAAACGGCCAAAAATTCCTCAAGGCATTTTCGAATTTTGATCACTTGGGGTGATACAGTAGCTTCCGAGACGCCCAAAACCGGTCGCCGTTTCGCTTAGAAGCGCCGGGTTGCGACGTTGCCATTTTTTAAAGTGGAAACCTTTAAAAATTCATATCTCCGCCGCATCTCAACCGATTTCAATGAACTTTTTTTTTAAAATGTTTCTCTTAAATAGAGCTTTTTAGTGTTGTATAGTTTCTTGGGGTTTACTTGGCTTTAAGTGGCACTTACGCGGTTTTAGCAGTTTTTGATAGACACAAAAATTTAGTTTTTATTTTACCACGATCGTGGAATCGACGGAATCTAAACAAAAACCAATTTAAATGAAAGTTCAGATTCTCACCTTTCTAACGACTACAAGATCATCGCGGGGAAACGTTTAGTTCCCGAGATATGACCGCTCAAAGTTGGTCACATGCGCTTTTGCGCAATGTAAATGCGTGTTATCACTAAGTCATTCGCGAACTAGGGGTCCCTTACGTTCAATTTACGTTGAAATAATTACACAGAGCAGTAAGGTGTACAACACGAGCCGTATTTTCACCTTCGGCTGCCGCTGTGCGACGTTGCCATTTTTTGAAGTGAAAACTCTTAAAGATGCATGACTCCGCTGCATTTCAACCGATTTCAATGAACTTTTTTTTAAAATATTCCTCATAAATAGAGCTATCTAATGGAATTTAGGTTTCTGGATTTTATTTACCTTAGGGAGGCACTTAGGTCGTTTATATGGTTCTTTGCAGGGATTTTTCATAAAAAAAATAGTGTTGCTAATTATACTTTTTTTTTCTCGGCGGATTGTGGGAGGGTTTAAAATGGCAAAATTTAAAAGAAAGAACTTTAAAAAGGGATTCTTTTAATAACTATTCTTACGTGTACAAATATTGAAAGCGACGCTCTCATTGTACAGGAGAAGGTGGTGTTCCTAATTTACCAAGATTTTTACATTATACTTTAAGCAATGGTGATCTTCCGATCTAGTTTGAATGTTAAAAAAAATCGGGGGAAATACAGACCCCCTCCTGAAGAAAAAGAAAAAAAAATAGCAACACTATTTTTTTATGAAAGATCCCTGCAAAGAACCATATAAACGACCTAAGTGCCTCCCTAAGGTAAATAAAATCCAGAAACCTAAATGCCATTAGATAGCTCTATTTAAGAGGAACATTTTAAAAAAAAGTTCATTGAAATCGGTTGAAATGCAGCGGAGTCATGCATCTTTAAGAGTTTTCACTTCAAAAAATGGGAACGTCGCACAGCGGCAGCCGAAGGTGAAAATACGGCTCGTGTTGTACACCTTACTGCTCTGTGTAATTATTTCAACGTAAATTGAACGTAAGGGACCCCTAGTTCGCGCATGACTTAGTGATAACACGCATTTACATTGCGCAAAAGCGCATGTGACCAACTTTGAGCGGTCATATCTCGGGAACTAAACGTTTTCCCGAGATGATCTTGTAGTCGTTAGAAAGGTGAGAATCTGAACTTTCATTTAAATTGGTTTTTGTTTAGATTCCGTCGATTCCACGATCGTGGTACCTAATGACCGTTCATGTGAGACTTCTTCAGAATTATTCTAACCTTATTATGAGGCAAGAAAACGAAAATCGGACACGTATTTTCCGAGATATAGCGCGCCAAAAAAACGACCGACGGCCATTTTTACTGGTCGCCATTTTGGTTCCTGCACGGACCCCAGAGTGTTTCCCCTTTTAAAAGAGCTTATTGTAACCATAAGAATAATCCCTAAAAGCGGCAATTTCCAATCAAGAAGTGCAGGGTTTTCTCCTGTACTCCGCGGACTGTTATGGCCCAATGCTTTTTATCATTTTTCTTTCCAATACGGCTAATACAAATGTCAAAACTTTGCCAAAATGGGATCATCCATCCATGTCTTTCAGCCACTTTTCATAATTTTAACTGTCCAGGTATTTGTCTGGGACAAAGTTTTCTTCAGACCAATTTTTGCTGTTTTTTATCCCCACCATCGAAGGAAGAAGCTGAAAATATAATGGCAGCATACCAATGTCCTCCGGTAAACTGACCCATCCGACGGATTGTTCATTCTTGTTTTGTTCCTTCAACCAGTTTGTCAGAGGCTCAAAGTACTCCATTAAGGGTCTAGCGTCAAGCTTGCTTGATTGTCCTTGAGTTGCAATTTTCAAGACTTCTGTCCACGGTTTCGACGCGCCAACTGCCATGAGATCGCTGGAAGAGATGGTATTGGAAATGTACCTTTTGGAAACATCTAACGTTGCAATGGTCTCAGAGGTAATGCAAATTAAGTGATTGCATAGTAACGCATGTGGGAATTGTGAATATTTTTTGAGGGCAAAAATAATTTGTACGGTAAAAAAATATTTACTCCGTCGAATTGGACATTATGTCCACTTTTCTGCTAATGTTTAGCAGGGCAGTGGCCTCTTTTCTATGTCCGTACAATCGTTTAGGTACATACAGGGTGTCCCAAAAGTCCCTTCCACCCCCTCTAAAATTTTACCTAATTAATATTTTGAAACAAAACTTTGGAGATTTTCATCGATCAATGTTAGCTACTTTTGGGACCCCCAAAAATTTTCGGGCACCCCGTGGGGAGGGGCTGCGGACCCCAAATTTCATTCGAAAGAGCATAAAAAACTAAGAATTTTGGCGCAAACCGCAGATCAATATCTTAATTTTTGACCGAGTTATGATAGGTCAAAGGTCAAATTTTACCTATTTTCAAACAATCATTACTCCGGTTCAAATTATCGTAATGAAAAAAATAAAACGGGAAAATTTATCAAATTGTAAGCACTTTTAAGTAAAAATCACAGAAATTACTTCAATTTAATTTTAAGGGGGGTTTCGGACTCCCCAAATACGTAAATTCAAAGATCATTCAATTTTCCCGCGAAAAGAGCCAATTTCCCCCAGATTTGCCTCCACATTAGTTCAGTAAGGTTAAAATCAGTTCAACATTACGTTGACAAGTCCCCAAACTTCGGGAAAAGTTAAAAAAAAAAACGAAATGTAAGGTGATTAATTTTGACCGTTTAAATTTTTTTTTTAACTTTTCCCAAAATTTGAGGACTTGCCAACGTAATGTTGAACTGATTTTGACCTTACTGAACTAATGTGGAGGTAAATCTGGGGGAAATTGGCTTATTTCGCGGGAAAATTGAATCACCTTTGAATTGACATATTTGGGGGTCCGAAACCCCCCTTAAAATTAGTTTTAAGTAATTTCTGTGATTTTTCCTTGAAAGTACTTACAATTTGGTAAATTTTCTCGTCTTATTTTTTTCATTGCGATAATTTGAACCAGAGTTATGATTTTTTGAAAATGGGTAAAATTTGACCTTTGACCTATCATAACTCGGTCAAATATTAAGATATTGATCTGCGGTTTACGCCAAATTTCTTAGTTTTTTATGCTCTTTCGAATGAGATATCAAAAGATAGGGGTTGCTATTTGAAAAAAAAAGTTGGGGTCCGTAGCCCCTCCCCACGGGGGGNGGGGGGGGGGGGGGGGGGGGGGGGGGCCAAAAGTAGCTAACATTGATCGATGAACATCCCCAAAGTTTCGTTTCAAAATATGAATTAGGTAAAATTTTAGAGGGGGTGGAAGGGACTTTTGGGACACCCTGTATGTCGTGGTTCCTTTGTCTGACCAATGTACGCCATGGATCACAGTCATTGCAAGAGATGTGGTAAACCATCCTTTAGCATGCCTACCACTTTTTCAGCTTGAAACGTTTCATCAAGGTTTTGGCTCGGAGTGTTGCCTGTGCTCCTTAAGTAACATTTTCCTATATAATTTATCAGAAAATTGTACAAAAATTAGGTATTTTTGACCAGCCGAAACGTTCCTAGTTCCTCTCAAAATTCTTGAGTCTTCAGGCCTTTTCCCACTATCGTTAGTTTATCCTTACATATGTATAGAAGACGGAAACGTATATCAGAATTTGTATGTCCTTTTCCTTACCCAAGCAGCCTGCCTGCCTCCCTCGAGCGGTAAATATCGCAATTATGCAGAGGCCCAACATGATTGATCGTGGCGCAGACAGCTTTGTGTAGTTGAAACTGAAGTATCAAGCTGACAAAGTACCTAGAACAATTGGAAAATGCATCTCAATAAATATACATAACGTATAGATAAATGTAACTACACTGTGGCAGTCGGAGAACATAGATATAATTTTTTNTTTTTTTTTTTTTTTTTTTTTTTTTTTTTTTTTTTTTTTTTTTACTACTTCAAATACTACACAAGTGGTAATCCTTGCGCTTCCAGTAAGAGCCCCTCCCCCCTCCGTCCCTACCATATACCAGCCCAAGCCAACCGTTGTTTCAGACCATCAAACTCGGGTCACCTAGCCGGGAATCGAACCCGGGACCTCCTGATTGTAGAGCCAGCGCTACAACCACTACACCACAGGAGGCCAAAATATGAAAAGGAAAGGCGGGGACGAGGCTGAAAACACACGATAATTTATAAAAGGCGGGACGTTTCGACCGGTCTCCCGGACATTATCAACCGTCGAGAAATAATTAAAAAATAAAAAAAAAAACAAACAAAAAAAAACAAAAAAAACAAAAGCTAAAAAACAATGTTACCGGTCCCTGGTCATGGCAGCGAGAAGATGAGGATATTCCATCCACACGGCCAGGCCGCCCGGAAAAACAAGTGAACATTAATTGACAATCCGCCCTCTCGAGGGCAGCAGGTGAGAGTCAACAAATAAATTAAAACCCACAAGTCCCTAGATAGTGCGCTACGTTAGGTTGAAAAACTGTAAGTACAACTTGTTAACGCCGCAACGAATTTCCGGCATTAACGTAACTAGCCGGCGGCTATATTACGCAACCTGCGCAACCTGGCAGCCATGCCGCCGCGACTCGGCGACCGGTCCAACCGGTCGTAAGTCCGTCCGACCCGCGGCGCGGCTCCCGGCCGCGTTCGACGCGTCCACGCGTGTCGTATATAAAAAGGCAGCCGCCAGACGTGCGGTCATCACTCAAGGTACACTCTACTACAGGTATGGACAAATGGAATTTTAGAAAGTCGTCAAAACGCGTAGATTTGACATCATCGAGAGTACGACTGCGAATGGCATGTGCGGCAAATGGACGGTACGACTTCATACGTCACTCGATCGCCGATTTTCTCAGCGCTGCCACTTCGGCACCCCGTTTGTCCATACCTGTAGTAGAGTGTACCTTGGTCATCACTCGATCATCACTCTTCGATCAGTCAAGTCCTCTGCTTGCGCTCCTGATCAAGGCTCTCTGCTTTCGATCCTGGTCTTCTCTCCACGCTGCACGATAATACATAGAATCTTTCTTTTTACCTTCTCTCTCTCTCTTTTACCCGGCTGAGCATCTCGGCTGGGACCTCTCTCTCTCTTTCTCTTTAGACCCGACTGAGTTTCTCGGTTGGGAAGATTTCTCTCTCTTCTCTTTTTCTTCTCAACGCGGCTGACAATGAGTATCTCGGCTGAGCTCTCTCTCTCTCTCTTCCTTCTCGGCTGAGTATCTCGGCTGAGCTCTCTCTCTCTCTCTCTTTCATCTCGGCTGAGCATCTCGGCTGAGCTCTCCCTCTCTCTCATCTCGGCTGAGCATCTCGGCTGAGCTCTCTCTTTCTCCCTCATCTCGGCTGAGCATCTCGGCTGAGCTCTCTCCCTCTCCCTTCCCTCTCATCGCGGCTGAGTATCTCGGCTGGTAGCCCCTCTGAGCATCTCGGTGGGACCTTCCTCCCCCCTCCTCTTTTCCATCCTCCAGGGGCCATCGCTGTGGACGTTGCGATCATTCGCAATCGCTAATCGTCCCCACCAGCTCTCCGCTTTTGAGAGCGCTCTCGGGCAGACTCTAGCCCCTCCGCTCCCCTCACACGGGCGTAAACACAACTGGCTCAATTTACCGAAGTCAAAGCGCGAATTACAAATTTCCCCTTCATGTTTTTTTAATTTCAATCATTTCCTGTGTGGTTGGCAGCCCTTGCCATCTGTCATGGCGCCAGCCACTGCTCTCTCCTGATTGGCTGTGATCTTTCATCATTATCCGTTTGGGCCTGGGCCACGCCGGCCGCCTGTTTGTGCATTTTTCCGTCTTTTTGTATTTCCAACAATACACTCATGTTTCCATCATATTGGTGTAGTTGTTTGTGCCACCACCTATCCACATCACATCGTTTTATGCAGGCGATCAACGCCAAATTCATGTTTTTATGCAGGCGATAAATGCCAAATTAATTCCCTTAAGCAGGTGATTAACACTATTTTCAAGTTTTATTCAAGCGATTAACGCCATTTACTTTTAAAAGGGCGTCTAACGCCAGTGATATTATGTTATGAAAGTGAATAACGTCGAGATTTTTATTTTCATAAAGGCGACTAACGCCAGAGGACTACTTTTTAAAAGGGCGACTAACGTCAATAAATTATTTCTATTAAGGCGATTAACGGAGTGTGATTACTTTTTACAAGGGCGACTAACGCCAATAAATCATTTTTATTAAGGCGACTAACGCCTAGATTTTGTCCTAAGGCGATTAACGCCAAGTTATGACTTTTACAAGGGCGAAAAACGCCAGTAAATTTTTTCTGTAAGGGGGAAGGTGTGTGGTTGGCAGCCCTTGCCATCTGTCATGGCGCCAGCCACTGCTCTCTCCTGATTGGCTGTGATTTTCATCATCATTATCCGTTTGGGCCTGGGCCACGCCGGCCGCCCGTTTGTGCATTAACCCGTCTTCTTGTATTTCCAACAATACACTCATATTTCCATCATATTCGTGTAGTTGTTTGTGCCACCACCTCCACATCACATTTCCCTTATTAGACGTGGAACCAACTGCCTTTCAAAGCATAAAACCTTAGCATTAAACTTAAGGTTTCCACATTAGGAACATAAGCCGCAATAAACCAAAAGATGAAGAAGAAACTCCAGGTTAAGTTTGCATTAGGTATTTGGATTGTATTACTACGGGATTTCATTTCGGCAGAATAAGTTTTACATGTCTTAAATGGAGAAAAAAAAATTTATGGTTTTACCACTTTAAAGCGTAGGTTGTGCATCGAAGGTACAACAATTTGGAGGACCTCATGTCTAAAGCGTCCAGCCCACTTTCAAACTTTGGACTCTCAATAACTGGTACCAATCATGATCATGATGTAGTCCATAGGGTCACTGGATACGTGTTAAACCGTTGCCTGAACATACGCTTGCAGGCGCATTTTAGCAAAAATGTGTGTTTTTCCATCACTCCGAGGCTTTTTTGACGCCGAGCGCATCGTCTAACTAAAAAGAGCTTTTGATGTGTTATCAAGGAGGTATTAGGATACATTTTAACCCTGGTTTGGTTTTAGTCAGATGATGCGCTCATAGATAAAAACACTTTTTCGAAAGTCGACTTTTAAGGGAAATCCACAAAAATCATAGGGAAAAACGTCTCTCCAACTGTGTGCACGCTACGTACATTATATCGAGGATAGTTATCAATCCTTATTAAACTTTTACAAGGAGATTTTTTTTAATTGTAGCCAAAAAAACCTTAACGACGGTTTTCCCTAAGATTTTTGCGGATGTCCCTGAAAAGTCGACCTCTGAAAAAGTTTTTTTTTTTTTTTATCTATGAGCGCATCATCTAACTAAAACCAAACCAGGGTTAAATGTGTCCTAAAGCCTCCTTGATAATATATCAAATGCTCGTTTTAGTTAGACGATGCGCTCGGTGTCAAAAAAGCCTCGGAGTGATAGAAAAACATGCACTTTCGCTAAAATGCGCCTGTAGACGTATGTTCAGGCAACCGTTTAACACGAACCCAGTGATCCTAAGGATAAAATCATGATTATTTTCGTAAACTACATTGATTGTGAGTCAACTTGGAAAACCTGCACAAATTTCCAGATTCTAGGGGGGAAGGCCCNGGGGGGGGGGGGGGGGGAGAGTAAACAAGGCCGTCATCGATACCCCTCCTTTCGGCTCCATGTTGCGAGTTTTTTGGGATGCGGATATTTTCGAATTTATTCCCTGTTCAGAAAACGTTTCAGATTACAATGTAAACGAGCAAAGGGGCACAAAACGCTTTCTTTTTAAACTAAATATGAATTTAGATTACCAGTGAGTCCGGTAAGTAACCGCCCTTAGCAGGTCAGAGCAGGAAAATTTCTTGCCAACGTTCCTTCGTTTCAATCTAATGCGGATTTAACAAATATTTTGACAAAGGAAATGTTTTGAATCTTGGGCTCCGAACCACTTTTTGTCCAAAATTTGATAAGAGATACAGATACTCCCCTTAAACCTCTCCTTGATCTCATGATAAGGTAGGTGCAAATCACCAGCCCCCGCACTTACCTACACCAAAAAATATGAAAAACATGTCATCGTCTTGTAAGTAAAAAAAAAAAAAAAAAAAAAAAAAAAAAAAAAAAAAAAAAAAAAAAAAAAAAAAAAAAAAAAAAAAAAAAAAAAAAAAANGGGGGGGGGGGGGGGGGGTTGAAGATATGGTTTTCCCCATCACTTTACGATCAAAAAATTCCGACAATGCCAACGTTTTTTAAGTGTTTTGTAACGTTTTGTAAGTCCAAAAATAAATTGTTTAACTTAATTTTTAAGGGGGATGCGGCTTCCCAAAATTTTAGAGTCAACCCCCCCTCCACACACTTTGCGATCGATAAATTTTGATAGCACCAAAGTTTTCTAACGTTTTGAAAGTCCAAAAATAAATTTTGTAACTAAATTTTCTAAAAATTGTTTATAAAGGTGGAAACTCACTAAGAGCGGAACGGACCGACCAACGACCATCGGCCGACGTCCACCGACGACCGACAAGATTGCTCTACGTGTAAATGAATGTGTCGCAACGCACTTAGACCGGAAGGGACCGGTGCCGTGCATGTCTAAACGTGTCTGTCCGCTCGGATTGCCTCTAGGAGCAATCTACCGACAACCGGCAACCGTCCGACAGTCAGTCTGTCCCAGAATTTCTGTAAAAAATTACAAAAAGTTGCGTCCCCGTTAGCAAAAAGTGATGGAATATACATTTAGAGTACGTATTTCAAATGAGGGGGTAACCAGTCGCACTAAGGCAATTTTGAAAATAAATAATAGTTTTGTTTCAATTAGAAAGACCAAAATATTGGCCCAACCTCTCCAAGTCGTACGTCATTTTGAGATTTTAAACTCGTCTTTTTCGATATTCTAAACTTTGAGCCCTTGTCTTTCAACTCCCTCATATTGTAATCGCATTTCTTTAATAAAATGAAAGAAGAAAATAAAAATAATGATTGAAGAAGCGCACGGACACCATCCGACAAACGACGCGGTCGGACGCAGTGAGTTTAAACATCTTCCGTTGCCCGTTTGCCGGTCGTCGGCGGTCGTCGGCCGTTGGTCGTTGGTCGGTCCGTTCCGCTCTTAGTGAGTTTCCACCTTAAAAATCAAAATTTTAATAAGTACTTAGGGTATTAGCAAGCGATTTCATTCGGACTTCATACAATTCTGTTGCTTACCTTATATACGAAGTATCGGAGACAACGTGATATTTTGCAGCTGGATCGAAATGTTCAGGTAAGCGTTTAACGGGGGGTATAATACCTTGGTGTCGAAGACGGAGCTCCCACCAAAGTGTGTTCCAACTCCCCTGCTCCCCAGCGAACACTCCCCATCGCCACTAATGTATGAACATGGAAAATAAGAGTTAAACTTTAAAGCTTTATTACATTGACGAAGAAAGTGCACAGTTTATTTTTTCTCCCTGAAAAATCAAGCTTTTCAAGTCGCCACGTGGTTGCGGACTTCCATTGTCGACATTTTATATCATTCAGTCCACAAGGAACGGTGGATAAAACTGCCCTTAAATTTCTGTAAACTGACTGGACTAGCTAGGTGTTGCAATAAGGAGCTATAATTCCTGGCTCGGTTTAGAAAAAACCCTAGATACCATTCTTTTCCCTATGCAAATGTTTTTTTTTGCGGATGAGTCAGAAATGGTGGTTTCTACTTACAAAATCCTCCTCCCCCACGAAATTGCAGATTATCCTCATCAAAAAGTAGGCATGGATTATAATATGGAATTCAATCTGTACATAGTGATAGTGGCTTACTATTCTCAATATCCAGAAATAGCAAAAATCAGTAGTACCAAGGCCAATAGCCTCATAACACAGGTAAAATCCATATCTGCTAGGAATGGAATTCCTGCAATTATTTTTTCTGATAATGGGCCTCTATTTAATTCCTTAGAATTAAATAGAGGCAATGGCAGCAATGGTCAATAAAATCTGAGCCCTCAATATGCTGAATCCAATAGTTCAGTTGAAAGAACAATTCAAAAACTGGAGAAAATTTCAAAGAAATGTGTAGAATCAAAGCAAGATCCCTATATATAGCTTTGTTAAAGGACGACGGACCGGTCTTATGGGAAAAGTGGGCCCGGTTAAATCGGCTGGCGTTTTGATATGTTGTAGGTCTTAACCTACTGATCAAAAGTGTCAATGGGCATTTCTCCCTATCTCGAAGTTTTACCCCCCATTTTGGGGGTCAAAGTTGCCAATTCGGCGTATAATTGGCAGTTTTGACACCCGGGTTTATTGGTCGCCTATGAGATTCTTTGATGGTTTCTTGAGTCTTTTGTATCCTCTGAATAGGCTAGAGACCATCCGAACTCAAAAACTGACAATTTTGCCTTATGGGTAAGGGGGGGGGGTGTTCACGCCACCGATTTCAGAGTCGGCGAGCCGCATTAAACCGATTCTTTCGCCATGTTTTGGAGAATTTTTTATGCAAATGATTGCGACTGCATCTTGAAAGGTCGACTAAGATGCAGCTCAGAATATACCCCCGGGGGGGGGGGGGGGGGTGCGACCGAACTCGAGCAGCGTAACTGGCTTGCGCGGGTCGGATCAAACCGATCCTTCTATTATGTTTTGGAGAACTTTTTTGCAAGTGACTCAGGCTGCTTCTTGAAAGGTCTACTAAGATGCAGCTCAAAATATACCTTCCCCCCCACGGGGGGGGGGGGGGGAGGCGAAAACTGGGCTCTCGCGAGTTGCATCAAACCGATGATTTTGTCATGTTTTGGAGTTTTTTTTCCATCCCAATGAAACAGACTGCATTTCGGAAGGTCGACTGAGATGGAGCACGGAATATGCTGTATGAGAAAGGAGGTTTCTCAATCCGCACCCTCCCTCGCAATAGGATCTCTCAGCATAGGTCAGTGTGGCACTGACACTAGTAGAGTGACACTTTTGAATGTGGCTAGGACGATTAAAACTTCATACCGTTTAACGCATCATTCAATTTTCAGCATATCCTGATGCATTTCAGAATTTCGACGAGGGGAGGGGTTATTTGCTTTTGAAAAGAAAAAAAATTAAAAAGAAGAAGTACATGACCTTGTTTTTTTCTTAGATTTTCTGATTACGTAAAAAAATCTCAGCGAGCTCGCCTCACTTTCTGCACTGAGAGCTTCCAGGATTTGATCCATTACTTATGGAGCTCCAGTAGAAAGAATGAAAAACCCAGAACTCGTCAAATACCTTCAGAACTGATTGCATTGCATATATTGCCTTTTTGCGAATGCTTTGCTTTCTTCCTTGCCTTTCTTGACATTCTACAAAACTGTTTAATGCTCGATAATAATGTGCGATTTCATTTAAAAAATCACCTAGATGATATATTTCTGAAATCAACCGACGTTATATACGTCTCAGCCGTAGGAATCATCTGCACCATTAGCTTTCGCTTATAGAAATATTGGGCTCAGTCGGAAATGCGTGTCAGCTAAAACGACCCTCGGAATTATGTATGAGTGATGGTGGTGGTAAAAAATGCCACTATACTAGTGTCAGTGCCACACTGACCTATGCTGAGAGATCCTATTGCGAGGGAGGGTGCGGATTGAGAAACCTCCTTTCTCATACAGCATATTCCGTGCTCCATCTCAGTCGACACTTCGAAATGCAGTCTGTTTCATTGGGATGGAAAAAAAACTCCAAAACATGACAAAATCATCGGTTTGATGCAACTCGCGAGAGCTAGTTTCGCTGCCCGAGTTCGGTCGGCTTTTCGGCCCAGTTTTCGCCTGGGAGGTATATTTTGAGCTGCATCTTAGTAGACCTTTCAAGAAGCAGCCTGAGTCACTTGCAAAAAAGTTCTCCAAAACATAATAGAAGGATCGGTTTGATCCGACCCGCGCAAGCCAGTTACGCTGCTCGAGTTCGGTCGCACCCCCCCCCCTCCCGCCCGGGGGTATATTCTGAGCTGCATCTTAGTCGACCTTTCTAGATGCAGTCGCAATCATTTGCATAAAAAATTCTCCAAAACATGGCGAAAGAATCGGTTTAATGCGGCTCGCCGACTCTGAAATCGGTGGCGTGAACCCCCCCCCCCCCTTACCCATAAGGCAAAATGTCAGTTTTTGAGTTCGGATGGTCTCTAGCCTATTCAGAGGATACAAAAGACTCAAGAAATCATCGAAGAATCTCATAGGCGACCAATAAGCCCGGGTGTCAAAACTGCCAATTATACGCCGAATTGGCAACTTTGACCCCCAAAATGGGGGGGGGGGTAAAACTTCGAGATAGGGAGAAATGCCCATTGACACTTTTGATCAGTAGGTTAAGACCTACAACATATCAAAACGCCAGCCGATTTAACCGGGCCCACTTTTCCCATAAGACCGGTCCGTCGTCCTTTTAGAAATTCAGCTAAAGGCAAAATGCCTTCCCCTGCGAAACTGTTAATGTCGCGTAATTTATAAACAAAAATGTATGTTGATAAATCTAGGCTAAAACCACAAGCTGTCCCATATGAGAGATTTCATAAATTGAAAATTTAACATATAAAGCAAAAGAAAAAAATATCACAAGGTGAACAACTCAGAACTCGGGGACTAAAACTACTACATCTCCGAACGAGCCACGAAGGCTATCCGGAACGAGCCTTCGTGGCTCGTCCGGGATGACGATTTCAAAGAAGAACAAACACTTTAAGAAAGAAGGAACATATTGGCCCGGCGGCCACCCCGCATAACTCCGAACTGTACAGTGGCACATTTCGAAAAGAGAAGAAGATTTACCCTTAGAAGGGGTGCATCCAAAAAACACTTACATTTTTGAAAAGCTTAACCGCGACGCGCTCGCGTTCTCAACAATTTGACAGCGACTACTCACTCTCTCTCTCTTCTCTCACAAGGTTCGCTGTTGTTCCCGCCACTCTCTCTACTCTGACTCTGGCGGGAACTTCAAACTGTGGGTGACAGGCTGCTACAAAGGGCCATGGAGAATTATCAGAATTCCAAGCAGGAGACCAGGTATTCTTCAAAGAATTATGGAAAGGTGAATGGGAACCAGGCAATGTTGTTAAAAAATGCTAACAACGCCGATCTTATGTAATAGAAAGTAAAAGTGGAAAACATTACAGGAGGAATCGATTATTCATCAAACCTAGAGAAAATTGTCCGAATGAAAAGAGTCTAAATAGTAGTGGTAATAAAATCTTGAAAAAACCTCAAACAGAGGACAATAAGGGTACTTGCATCGTACTCAGTGGAAAAAACAGCAAAAGTACAAAAACAAAACGCTATAGATAATGAGTTGGAAGAAGATATTCACTTTTTATTTGAGAGTCCAAGTAGGTACTTCTCAAATTGATCGAAATTTAAATAATGATCAACAAGAAAGCATTAGTTCAGATTATCAAAGTCCAGTTGCTCAAAGTTCAAATGTAAATTACCAAAATTCCAGAAATGAGCACGTAAAATCGCGAGGTAGAGGTTCAATGCGAGGCAGAACAAAAATGGAAGAGCAAAGGAGTAGAAAACCTCAAAATTATCTTAAGGATTATGTTAGTAAGTGAAGAAATTAAAGACAAATTGTAAACTTATACTGTGTAAAAAAAATAAAAAAAAAAAAGTTGTACCGAATAGTGAAAGCTAGAACTTGTGTAGTCAGGTTGGCAATCATTGTAATGCCACACGTAAAAGGATTGTGCGCATGCGCGACGTGCAAGGATATCTGTTATCAGCTGCAGCCGGAATGGCGTGTTCCGTAATTAAGTATTGTTAATAAGTAACTAGGAATAAGTATAGTACCTCAAAGAGCGTTCATTTATTTATTGAACTTGACAATTAATTCGGTAAATAAAGCAATATTTCGTTTTGAAAAAGAGTAAAATCGATTTCTCATGAAAAAATACATGGGAAAACATAGCGACAGTGAAACTACCAGACCACGTATCTCGTTTGCGGTGTTTAAAAATCTCCACTCACATTTTATTTTTTTGAAGGAGATCAAATCCATATCATTCCTTACAATTTTCACAGATTTTTCTCCGCACAAAGAGGAAAAATCACGGAAGTTTTCACGAACTGACGTTGAGTATAGTTTTCTATTTAAAAAATGAAGTAAGTATGACAGGAAGTCTGCGACGTCGCAAACCGAGATACGTGGTTTGGTAGTTTCACCGTCGATAGGCTTGATGATGCAAATGCGTGTTTGAGGGCACCTCTAGTGACCCGAATAGGATACAACCTGATTTTTTAGGTAATTTAACGATGCAAATATTTGGAGGGCTTGAGCGCCATTTTCCTGTTGGAATTACGGCTGCGGCACACACACTGCGGCTTAAAACACGAAGTTCCGACTCTTTGGACGTTAACTTTGAGAGAACCACCCAACCGATTTGCCTGCTCTTTTTTTTAAATGAAAGCCCGTAGATTTGTAGGCTGTAATTTGTTTTTCGATTTTCTCAAATTTTCTCCTAGGTGGTTTTCGCCTAGAGTGCCGCTCTGGCATTTATGTTGAGAATGGTCACAAATCTCCCCTCTTTGCGATTGTGCACTTATCCAATCTGCTACACCCTTCATCCAACAAAGTTCTAAATCTATTCGGACTTCCTCTTCCGCCTTTATTTCGCTGCTTAATTGCTCTTCCAACCATTTACGAGCGTCAGTTCAGTTTTCTCGGCGATTTTGCTACATGAAGATCTTCTACGGTCGTTCTGATGGAGAGTGAATAGAAAATAAAATCATACTTGACTTATAAGTATGAAATACGAGCTTACCTGATCAACAAGGTATGCAAAAGGTAAATACGCAACTTTGTCCAATGCCATCTCCATGAGGAAGTCAATGGTAGTCTCTGAAAAAAATATCATGTATTTCAAAATTTAACATATTTAGTATACCCCTAGATAGGATGCATAGCGTTTTAATCATCTCACGGAAAAAAGTACATGCAAAATGAGCCATTTCAAGCTTGTGGCGGCCCAGATAGCACACAATATACCGAGAATATTTGTGCAATATCCTCGATTCTTGAATATTCAAAAGATGTTCATAGAATATTCAAGTAAATTAGGTACTAAGCCTAAGTTTTGAATATTCATAGAACATTTATGGTAGAAAAATAAAACAAGTGATATCTCGTTATTATATCTTGTCTCCTCGAATGGAAGAAAAAAATATAAAAAACCAACGAATAGCATTCTGAATGTGGGAAAATAAGTGTGTGGTCGTATCGCCATCTCCATCTTTAGCGACCACACTTGAAGCTGCGTCGACGTTGGTCGTCTCTTCACACCCCCTTACAATTCAAACCGCCATCTTCCTCGCGCTCCTTAAATCCCCGTCTACAGTGTCCCAGACTTTCCTATTACCACGCGTCTTCCTCGGTTGTATCAGCGCAGATGATGAGGCTGGGGGCGGGAAGTTAAATAAGGAATTGACCCCAACTATTCCAAATTTAATAGTCCCGAAGTCTCTGTCTCCCCCCCCCCCCCCCCCNCCCCGGTCTCTTTAAGGAGCCTAACGGGGCGTCCTAATCAGAGTTGCGTTATGAAATGTTCTGACATGAAATTTCACGATAAAATTTCATGAAATTTCATTTTCTCTTTGAAACTTTCTATGTTACATCCAGAGGCTTGTGAAACCGCTTAAAATAGTGAAAAAGTATATATAATTCGTGTTCCCTACCCCCTTCCCTTTACATCACATATATTTTTAATTCATTATTGTACATGTACTTTTTCAAGAATTTGAACTGTTTGATGACAGTAAAACAATGGCAAGACAAATGCATTTACGCACTTCGATTCTGGTAACTTTGAACTATTTTCGAGGTTTCTCTCAAGCATTAAGACCAATCTACACAGGTCAGTCATTACTCATTCCTGTGATCCCGTTTGGATCCCGTAGATGAATTTTAAGACCCTACTGAACATTGCGGCGGGAAGTTCAAATGCAGTGCATTTCTTCTGGCTGCGGCCGAGTGTGGGCCGATGTCGGGCGGGGAAAGGAGGTGGATTCCAAAGAGATGCAATGACAACGGCTGGCTTGTGTGGATCGATATTGGTTTTCTTTTCACTGTCATTTAAAGGATTTTAGAAAAAAAAATAGTTGGCAAACAATACGGGAACTTGCTTCTTCTTTTTTTTTAAAGAGATAACCTTCCTTTGTCAAAAATTTAGAGGGGTCTCGCCACACCCTGTCGTTAAAAAAATGAAAGGTGTGCAAAATTACCCCCTAGAGTAGGGTAACTTCGGACACCTCTCGCTTTTTGACGATTGTAAACAATTTAACACCAAGACAATCATCACAACAAATATTTTCAATTATTAGGTTAGGTACTCCCGACGGTTCTACCTTGTCATACATTTTTACTTTCTCGCTCCTCTAGGGTAGAGGAAGTATTGTCATCCTTCAAGGGGGGGGGGGTTGAAATTTCATCATTTCTAGACATTTTAAGGTCCCTGGAGTCAAAATAACCATACTTGAAAAAATGTTTGTCCGTCCGTCAGGCGTCCCCCAAATCTGTGTACAGTCATATCTCAGAATCTATCTGTTCAATTTCATTCAGAAGTAGAGAAGACCATATCTATGGTCTCTTTATGGACGTCAAACGATTTTAGGGTGATACATTTTTTTTTTCGAGGGGGGGGGGGGCAGGGCCAGGGGCCAATCTCGATTCTTAGCAAAATCACACGGAAAGCTCATTTTGAAGGACTGTAAATTTTGAAAAATGCCTTCCTTTAATTCTTTAAAAGTGGGTATCAGGCACACCACCTGGGTCATTAATTTAAGTTCCAAAACGATCTTTGGACTAAACTCAAAATTCAAGGGAAACTAGGCACAAAAGTAGCGCACTTTGCCCCGCGACATCACACAAACAGCTCATTTTGAGGGACAGTAAATTTTGAAAAAATGCCTTCCTTTAATTCTTTAAAAGTGGGCATCAAGCACACCACCTGGGTCATTAATTAAAGTTCCCAAAAGATCTTTGGATCAAACTCAAAATTGAAGGGATACGCGTCATATGGCGGGGGCACTTTGTTCCGCAAAATCACACGAAGAGCTCATTTTGACGGACTGTAGATTTTGAAAAGATGCCTTAAATTCTCTGAAAATTGGCACAAAAGCACCACCTGGGTCAATAATTTAAGTTCCTAAGAGATCTTGGGAATAAACTTGAAATTGAAGGGTTACGCGTCATATAATAGCGTAGCGAGGGCACTTTGATCACACGAAGAGCTCACTGAGAAGGGTAGTAGATTTTGTAAGAAAACGTTTGATCGTGTGAAAGTTGGCACAAAGCATCACCTGCGTTATTTATTTAAGTTCGTAAAAGATCTTTGGACTAATCTCCTAATTGAAGAGGGACCCATAGCAAATCGCCATTTTGGGCTGAACGCTCAAAGAAACAAAAGACTCCTCGGTATTGGCAGCAAGTGGTTTGAGTCAGGTGAAACCTAGGATTTCAAATGCATTATATACTTGCTGCATCATACAGGGTGAGCGAAAAGTCCCCGACCCCCCCTCTAACTTTTGAACGAATTGAGCTAGGGAAATGAAACTTTGGGAATGTTCCTGTCTCAAAGGGGACCATCTTTTGGGGGGGGTCAAAATTTTGGTCTCCCCCTCAGGGGGGGACGGGGGCCCCCCAACTTTTTTTTTTCAAATGGCAACCCCTATCTTGTGATACCTCATTCGAAATAGCATAAAAAACTAAGAATTTTGGCGCAAACCGCAGATCAATATCTTAATTTTTGACCGAGTTATGATAGGTCAAAGGTCAAATTTGACCTATTTTCAAAAAATCATAACTCCGGTTCAAATTATCGTAAAGAAAAAAATAAAACGGGAAAATTTACCAAATTGTGTCCGCTTTTAAGTAAAAATTGCAAAAATCACTTCGATTTAATTTTAAGGGGGGGCTCGGACCCCCAAATACGTCAATTCAAAGGTCATTCAATTTTCCCGCGAAATAAGCCAATTTCCCCTGGATTTGCCTCCACATTATCTCAGTAAGGTCAAAGTCAGTTCAACATTACGTTGGCAAGTCCCCAAATTTCGGGAAAAGTTAAAAAAAAAACGAAATTTAAGGTAATTAAATTTGACCGTTTAAATATCATTTTTTTTTAACTTTTCCCGAAATTTAGGGACTTGCCAACGTAATGTTGAACTGACTTTGACCTTACTGAGATAATGTGGAGGCAAATCCAGTGGAAATTGGCTTATTTCGCGGGAAAATTGAATGACCTTTGAATTGACGTATTTGGGGGTCCGAGCCCCCCCTTAAAATTAAATCGAAGTGATTTTTGCAATTTTTACTTTAAAGCGGACACAATTTGGTAAATTTTCCCGTTTTATTTTTTTCTTTACGATAATTTGAACCGGAGTTATGATTTTTTGAAAATAGGTCAAATTTGACCTTTGACCTATCATAACTCGGTCAAAAATTAAGATAATGATCTGCGGTTTGCGCCAAAATTCTTAGTTTTTTATGTTCTTTCGAATGAGGTATCACAAGATAGGGGTTGCTATTTGAAAAAAAAAAGTTGGGGGGCCCCCGTCCCCCCCTGAGGGGGGGACCAAAATTTTGACCCCCCCAAAAGATGGTCCCCTTTGAGACAGGAACATTCCCAAAGTTTCATTTCCCTAGCTCAATTCGTTCAAAAGTTAGAGGGGGGGTCGGGGACTTTTCGCTCACCCTGTATACCTACTATCTCCAAAATTACTCCGTAGGTACCTACACACCAAGCAAACTTAGACGACTAATTAGGTACTTTCATACTATGACTCATTGAAACGTACACTAGAACTGACACTTAGATCTTTATTAGAAACTAATATGTTTGTTGTTAATGATCTTAGAATCCCTGCAGATTCCATCTTTCGCGGTTCCTTTTTACGAGGTAGGTGCTGAACACGTGTATACCTAATAATACTGCACGAACTTGCTTGATTCAATGATTGAGGTGATTCGTCAAGCACAAGCACAAATGACGTGGTCGAACTGGCATGCGATATATCGCATCGATTAAGTAAAAAATCTCGGCAGATTTAGAATTTTTAGCAATAAAAAAAAAGGACGAACGCCCCTGTGCATGAGCCTAATGATTCATTCTAAACCTAAAAATTGGCAAAATTCAGTGAAATGAAAGCAGAATAGTGTTTGGAAAAAACCTCGCATTCGATTCAGCTATCGATTTCTGTATCGAATGCGAGGTTTTTTTCCAAACCCTATCCTGCTTTCATTTCTCTGGATTTTGTCGATTTTTGGGCTCAGAATGATTCTTTAGGCTCATACGCAGGGGCTTTCGTCCTTTTTTTTGCTAAAAATTCCAAATCTGCCGAGATTTTTTACCTAATCGGTACGATATATCGCATGCCAGTTCGACCACGTCACTTGAGCTTGACGAATCATCGTAATGATTACACGAAAGCGCATTCGTTTATCACGTTCCACATGTTGCTGTTGTTTCAACACAGGGATACGAGCTAAGGAGGTAGCGCTCTCGGCGGGCGGGTGGTGAACCATTTCCGGCGGTGAGATTCGACCGCCAACTTTGAAACTTGGGATTGATGCTCTGCAAAACCCGTTTTATTTTAAGACTATTTAAACATTGAATAGTGATTCTACCCATTGAAGTAGGTTTTTATAGCATTTTTACCGTGCTTAAGGAAAGATTATAATATATAATCGTATCTAAATTATGATGTCGATGAATCCAATGGATCCTAATGAATCGTAGCTGTAGGAAAGCTAAGATTTTTAAGGATCGCCGTCTTTACTGGGAGGCATCATTAGGTAATCAATTATTTAATTGAAGATGCCGCATTATATCGACGAGTCTATTCTGA